GCTTCTAATATTAATATTATTTTCATCGATTCATCATATTTTATTTATAGCTGTGCTATAGTTTTTCATTAAAATGTCTTTTCTGTTGCTGGAATTGAAGTAAGTCCCACACATAGCTGGGATCATATGCCTTTGAAATATAAATTATGCAAACGGCTGGAACCTTGTGTTCCAATACAAAACGTTCGTAACGCTACGACATTCGCATGCCTATGATAAACTATAGAGTTGGCCTCAACCATTGACTGGATTACATTCTTTTCGTCAGCAGAGAAATTTCGACTTCTCTTTTTCCTTTGGGTGCAGGCGACAGTATGCGTTTCCATTTTTGGTAAACCGGAAGTAAACAGAAAACGGAACTATGGGATATATGGAAGCTAACCAGTGACGTTAACCACACTTTGACGGTGACGTTAGCAAACGGCATGACTAAAGTACTGTCGGAAATGCTAGAAAAATGCTTTTTAGCCTTAATATCTTTATAAAGGTGATAAATGTACTATGTTGTCAATATATCAACTCGCCTATTGTCTACCTAATTTTTATTTCAATCGATTTAACATTCCCATGCATTTAAAGGGCAGGTTACAGGAGAGAATTTGGTACCAAAACAGCAACTTAAGATTTTTTTCAGAGTTCAACAACAGAAATCTGAAATAGTCTTTACATTTATGCTAATAATACAGGTGGTGTAAAAATATGAATTAACGTTTTTCCTAAACCAATAAATATTCAATGTTTGTGTTACTTTACTTAATTATCGTTTCTTTATTGAAGAAATATTATTATAAATGTTAAGTCTTGATAAATAAGTTTCCCGTCATGCATGCACATCTTTATCACAGCGTCCACTATGGCCAACGATTTGCAGTCGATTGTTGCAAAGGTTTATAGTTTTTTTCTGCTTAAAAAAAAGACAGAGGTAAACCTTTCATTAGTTTAGAAAGGGTTTATTACAGAATTTGTAGAGCTGTTGGTATGTCTTACCAACAAATTTACAATATTGTAAACAAATCAGACAAGACAGGGACCGTCTCAAATGCAAAACCGGGACGTAAAACCATCCTTGACAACTTTGACAAGGGAGTGCTTAGACGGGCGGTCTACAAACTTTATGAGAAGAAAAATATACATATTCTAAAGAAGCTACACCAGTGACTTCGTTAAATCTTTGGCTAATGTTCACAACTAGATTAAACTGACCGAATTACATCCATATGTTTTCAATGAAATTTACTGTTGACATGCAAAACATTTATTAAAACGTTGCACATTTCTAGAATCAATCGATAAGATAACACAAGTGATTGGACTCTTTCCAAGGTACAGTAATTCGTATGTTTATTTCAAAACAAACACACATACACAAATGATCCCTTACATAACCGATACGTATACTATACGTACACATATTCAACATTTTGCAGAAAACATCTATTGAGATGACCCCTCGCCCGAGCGCGTGCTCAGGTGTCAATTTCATCTGTCGATACCGTGGATGCTGATGACGTAACACAGGCAATTAATGTTTGTATCAAATAACGTCCCACTACCCCTTATTTTTCTAAGTTTTTGGTATTTTCATCAGTAAAAACACATTTTAGGGCATGTCTCACAATTTATTCTCTCGGTCTACATTAGGTAGATGTTTCTTGAAGTGATATTTGTTATTTAAGTAACTGTAATACCTCTGAATTTTAAATATAAGTCAAAAAGCATTTTTCTAGCATTTCCGACAGTACTTTAACCATGTTCTGAACAACACATATTTAACGTTCGGTTACCTAACGGCCGGTAAGGATTTAACCGGCCGTTAGGAGTTAACCGGCGGTTAAGATAACCGAGTATTGAACAACCGGGACCAGATAGATAGTTAGTTAACCAACTAAGTACGTTTCCACGAACACCATCATTTTCTAATTTGTGCAATAAACCTTTATGCCATGCCCTGTAAAAAAGCTTTTGAAATATCACAAAACAGCATACAGTAAAGGTGGTGATTATCTAGGACTGAGCATATATTATGATAAATGTCTATGTTGAGATGTAGTAGAATGACTAGCAGTAAAACCTGACTGGAATTTACTTCAAATGTTATGTTCATGGAAATGGTCGTGCACATGCTTTACCATTATTCTTTCAAGGATTTTCCAAAGGATAGGTAATATTAAACTAATAGGTCTGTAATTAGTTGGGAGGGATGCATTTCCTTCTTTCAAAATAGGAGTAACATTACCCGTTTTCTACAATGTAGGAAATACAGTCACTCAGTGATATATTATACAACAAACAAAGAGGTTCAGCTATAGATGTACAATTCGTTTTAACACTCTCATGCTAATGCCATCAGGTCCACTAGATTTGTTTGCTGGTAAGGTCTTATCAGATACCTCCTTTTCGGTAACAATGACATTTGTTATACATTATACATACAAAATGTTCATTTAATGTTTGAGCTTTATCCAAATCTGTAAAACCTGAAGGTATCCCAGAATCATCAGTGACAAGAAGGGGAGGGGCCCCGATGAAGTAGTAACAACCTGATTGAGTAGACTGAGGTGATAAATAGTTATCAAAAATAGATTAAAAGTTTCCCTTGGCTATTCTTTTCAGATTATTTACTTTATTCCTTTGCTTTTTGTATTTAAATAGCTCAGAAGTATTCAGAGATCGAAATGCTTTTTTCCTTAGACGTTCTCATTTCTTTTAAGTATGTTACGAGGGGCGTTGAAAAAGTAGTCAAACTAACTATATTCTCGATGTCCAATATTTGAAAAACAGCTTCCATTTTATTTTGAAGGAATCATTAGCAAAGTCATATCCAAAATTTCATGTGGGTAATGTGGTTAACGAGATATTAGTCATCACAACATTGGGGTATTATGTTTCTTGCAAATTTGCAGAAAATGGAAAACGATCTCCCATTGGTATCTAGTAATAGTAATAGTCCGCTTATATGGCGCTCACATCCAGGCACATTGCCTGATCACGGCGCTACGTACATTACTATCCCTGATCATAGGACACTATCGTAGTTTCCGATACTTTTTCAACTCCCTGGGGACTGTACAGCCATGCTGCCTGTTAGGCGCAATGAACTAAACACTCACATTGCCAGCACATACTCACGGGTACCCATTTTACAGCTTGGTGAACTGAGTTAGTGTAGATCTAAGTATCTTGTCCAAGGATACTACGCAAATGTGCCCCATCTCGGGACCCGAACCTAGGTGCCTCCTCGAAACAGGCCCTTCAGCGTGATAGGCAGACGCCTTACAACTGCACTATTGCGCTATCTCTTGGATAATGGCATACCCTCAGATAGTATTATATAAAATATGTTCAGCATAATATTGGATGACTTCCCGTCATCATCAACATTCAAAGATTTGGATTGCTGGATTTACATTTAGACGGGGACTGAGGACACCTCATTTTAAATTTTCAAAACCTTGTGTCCAGATATACAACATATTGAGAGCTGACACTTGTGTGACCATTCAGTATTTAGTTTGAACCCTTGACACCATGTATGAATAAGTGAAAACTTTAGGATCAGCTATATCCTTATGATGACGTCAACTGAAAGGGGGTGGGTAGAGTCTCCAAAACAAGCCCTTTCAGTAAACATGAAGGGGGAGTCACTTGAACAAGCGATTATAGTTTAAAATTGCTTTTTTGTGCAGTTTAATATCTAAGTTTGACTTTTACCAACATACAACATGTTTTTTGCATATTTTGTTTCAATTGGTGTAGGGGGATTCCCGCCAATACACCTTGATATAAAATTGGATCAAAATCTATTAATTCTTTCCTGAGTTCGCGGCTACCAAGCTTGGCATGTGCAAAACTGTTACACCTTCGCTGTGACCTTTAAAATGACCTCAAGGTCACAAAATTCAAGTGGTGTAGGTAAATCTCGTCAATAAACCTTGGTACCAAATTTGAACAAAATCCATCATTTCTTTCTCGAGTTCTGTCAGTAAACCGAAGGGGGAGTCATTTGAAAAAGCGATTGTAGTTTCAAATTGCCTTTTTGTGCAGTTTAATATCTAAGTTTGAGTCTAGCCGACCTCTACCAATCTCAAACATACAAAAATTTTTTTTGCATATTTTGTTTCCTGAAGTTTAATTTGTGATGCATTTCATTGCCAGTCAGCTAGGCTATTCAATTTGTTTCAACAGTTTCCGATCCTGTCTCAAAACCACCCTCTTCAAACGAGCATTCGACTAAGCGCACATGAGCAGGGCTCTGGATATGTAGCGCTATACAAATGTCTAATTTGATTTGATTTGATTTGATTTGATTTGATATACCCATTAGAAACCCATCCCCACCCAACCCTACTTTATATTTATACATATCAAAACCTCAAAAGATATTTGCGAAAAGACATGATACAGAGGACAGTTTATATCGATTATATATCAGGACGAATATTATTTTCGTCATTTGGTTAAGATTTGTCAATTCTTTCTTGGGTTATCGCGCTAACAATCTTTATATTGGCAAAACCCTCAGATTTTTACTGTGACCTTGAAAATTATCTCAAGGTCACTCCATTTCACTTGTGTCGGTGAATCTCGCCAATATACCTTGGTACCAAATTTGAACAAAATCCGTCATTTCTTTCTTGAGTTATCGCCCTAACAAGCTTATTTGATGTATGAAATGCAACGAAAAACAAACACCCGCGTATTTACGAGTGATTAAAACTGTTATTACAATTTACGTAAATATTTATTACATTTTACCGCAACGAAAAGTATTACAATTTACGTCAATTTTTATTACAATTTGCGTATTACAATTTACGTCAATTTGTATTACAATTTACGTTTTTATTACAATTTACGTCAAGTTTATTACAATTTGCTGCAAGTATTACAATTTGCGTTTTTATTAAAATTTACATCGTAACACGAGTTCTAACACATATCTTCGCGGGTTCTAACAAAATAACAAAACCAAACGTAATGCTAAATAAATTTTCACTAACCTCGCTTAATGAAACTTCTGGCGCCGGGAACAGAAACACTGGAGATAGATGGAGGTGACCTGTAGATGTAGCACTGACCGCCATGATGGATCACAGAAACACAGACTTCATCCCTCGCACAGATACCGGCACATTCCTGCTCACTCTCCTACTGGTGGATGCTGGTCGGTGTCTGGGTGGCATTGGCGTTGTCCATTAGGATGAGTTTATTAAACAGACTTCTGGAAACAAAAGCCTCTTTTGCGAAAACCTCCTGCAAGAAGAGGGGGATAAATACCAGAAGATTCATTCCTCCTCCTCAACTCCAGATACCAACAATTGTAACAAACTGTCCTCATGGAGTGAGTAGCTCTTTTCCAATAAACAGTACACTACTTTCTGGTGCTGCAACATATAGTTACACAGAAAACCAAATTCCCTATTTAATTATTTATTAGCCACCAAACACTTCATGATGCATATGCGCAAAGGTTGTGCGGGATCCAACTGCAAGACAGCATGCATGTTGAACCAAACAAAACTGTTACCAAGGATGTAATTACACTCGTACTTGGGTAAGAAACACTTGAGTGTTCTCCTGAGTGACTGTCATGTAATATTCCTCAAAGGTTTGGCGCAAACACGATTAGCATATTCATGGTTCCAAGTTGGCATTCACTGTCTTATTGTTTGATTTCCATTCTAGAAGTTGATGAGTCAATAATGATGCATACGACTCTGTGGAGAACAACTTCTTGTTTATTGTATAGAGCGACGTTTCAGTTTGATAAGAAATAAGAATAAGAATCTATCTACTCTGAAACGTCGCTCTTTGCAATAAATGTAAAGTTGTTTATCCATAAAGTGTATGCTTCATGATTGGATGTCTTGACTTGGTCTCCAGTTTGGTGATTTGACCTGCCTTGGCGTGTGTTTGTGACTTGACTTTCTTTTTGACTTCTCGTATCACCACTGTTTGATGATTGGATACATTCCCGTTTCTGATATTATGCATACAATGCATACAATACAATGCATCGATGCTAATCAATACATAACTGGATTGTGTGGTCCAGACTCGATTATTTACTGACCGACGCTATATAGCGAGAATACTGCTGAGTGCGGCGTTAAACAGCCATCCAACCATCCAAGGACTGGCATAATGTAGAGGGAATAACAGTAAATGCCCTCTGGAAAACCTTTCAGTCACACTTGCATAGATAAAACATGCAACATTTCGTCACAAAAACCGACAACGATTCATCCACAGCACTAAAGCATGCGCAGACAGTGACAACAAACAACGAACCCAGTCACTGTAACGCCTGTACTACCATTCTCAAATTTCTGAAATGATAAAACAAACAGGTTGGTTTGAGAGAAAACGAGACTTTAGCGAGAACCAAGTTTCACGGAAGCTTCAGGCCTCCCAAAAAGCGGCGACAAGCCAAAAAATAATTCTGTTCCGCATGTTCCCCATCTGGTGGGAATTCCACAACCGCAGTGGTTGTTTTGTTATCTCCTCACGTGACAACATCTCAGGTCGGCAAGAAACACGTGTTTTATGCACCACCACGAGACGTCGCGAGATCTCGTTAAGAGGTGTTTCGAATCACTGCAAAAAGTCCCTGATGAAAGAGAAACTAATGCGCCGATGGCATGCCCAGACGCTTCACAGCTTCGGGAAGTGCTTCCGCCATGCCAGACATATTAGAACTATCTTTTGCTTCAGGTGTAGTTGTAGCGTGTGAAAACGTGCTCATAATTAATGGTACAAGAGTTCAAACTGGTGTGTTGAATATCTGCCACGGGTTGTACAGTTCCAGAATACTTCGGTGCCCCGAAAATTGGTGTATATGTTCATTAACACGTTTGTGGGGCGGTGGGGTATTTTACTAGAACACGCGTTCGCGCGTCACCTCAATGGTTCGGGTTCGATTACCCACTAACGACCACTGCACATATTGCAACTAAAACGCTATAGTTCCCCCGTATATGAACGGTATATGAACGGTATGTGAGTGAGTGATGGTTAAAGTGTCTGCTCGTCACGCTGAAGACTCGGGTTCGATTCCCGAAATGGGTACAATGTGTGAAGCCCATTTCTGGTGTCACCCGCCATGATATTGCTGGAATATTCCTAAAATATTTAACTGAGCCGATCTGCGACCAGAGTGAGAGACGAAAATATTTATTTGGAATTGAGTGAATATTGTTTAAAACCGCCTGACCCAAAAAAGGAACAGGAACATTTTTGTGTGGATAGACAACTTCTTTACTGTAATGGATGCTACGTTTCGGTGCTAACACATCATTTGCTTGATAAAGCTTTAGCATCAACACCGAAACGTCGCATCTATTGAAATAAAGAAGTTGTCTGACCATAAACAAAATTGTTCCTGTTCGTCATGCCAGCTTGGACCCGTGAAGACCCGACTTAGAATTGATCTCCAGTAACATATCCTTGTCGTAAGAGGCGACTAGTGGGATCGGATGGTCAGGCTCGCTGACTAGATCGATGCTCATGCTGTTGATCTCTGGATTGTCTGGCCCAGACTCGATTATTTACAGACCTGCCCCATGTAAGATGTAATTACCAAGTCTGACGTAAAACTGAACTCACTCACTCACTCACTGATACCAGCTTCTAAATGTCCCTCAAAGAATAACCAAATACGGAAGACTATCAATCCACCTTTTCAAAAGTAGATATTATTTTCAATAATTCACCCTGTTACTTAACAAACATGTTGGCGTCTTTGTCAAGGAGCGGGGAGTGGTCGTTTGGTTTCGTTGTGATCATTTCATTCGAAAAAAGTTTTAATGTTCCATTATCTTAAATTAATTTCGCTTGTTTTATTTATCTCAACGTAGACAATTTGTGTCCATGTATTTTGAGCCAAAGCGCCAGAGGATTCAATTATCTCATCGCTTTTTAAGATGCGTAACTGAATGCTGAAAAAACGTGAAATTGCCAGTTTTGTACAAAATGCATTGTTTGCTTGTTTTTAACCGCGCAATAAGCAGTTTTACAGCTATATCTCAGTGGTCTGTAAATAATTCAGGATAAACTATGGAGCATTGGGGTATAATAAAATTCGATAAAAGAACGAAAACGTGTATTATCTACATACAGTACGTTAACCGCCAATAAATATAAGATAAAAATGACGACATTGATACGATGCGAGGTGAAGGACGTCATAGTGGGGCGTTAATCTGGTGACATTCTTATCTATGCACATCACGACACGCCCACAAAGTCAGTAGCCAATCAATTAAGCATGTGTCAATCAAGGAAAGAGACGAGATGAACAACAATCGGACCTAAAAAGCTGGAACCAATATGTTGATTAGAAGGCAGCAGTTTCAAATAATATTGTCAATAACCGCCAGATTCAAACTTTGGTTCCCTGAGAACGGCTAGACACAATTGGAAAAATGCGAGATCAAAATGAAACCAGAAGCCTTTGTAACCTAATACGTGACACAGTCATGTTATTCCAGGATAAGCCGAAGATCTTCTTGGAGGTTACGGAAAGGACCGAGTGGCGACGAATGTTGTAACCCAGGCGAGCGAAAAAAACATGACGAGCGAGCTCTCCCTCTGATCGTATATCAAATAATAAAAATCGAACGTATGTTCATTCCTTCTCAGCTGCCGTCCTCGACGCGTTGAATAAAATAATATACATGGAGCAGAAATGAATTCCCTCGAATGTACATGTAAATTTCCCGGCAGTCGGTGTAAATCGTCTTCACTGATGGGCGTGGTTTCATTTGTTACTGTCATTTAAAATTAACGCAATACCACGCGACCAGTTCAGCTAATCAGAATGCAGGAATTACAGTGAAAACAATTTTATTTTAAAAAATTCAAATGTTGAATAGACAGTCTTGAGATTGACATCATTAACTGACATAATGACATGATTTGCATCAACCAAGTCAGCGAGTGTCCATTGAATCCACATCTTATGACAAACATGGGTTGATGAAGCCCAATTCTATCCCACAACGTCAACCTTGCCCTTGACATAGAACTGACGTTTTTTCGCGGGTGCGATTAGGAGAAAAATTACGTGTTAAGGCCTTCGTGGATTAGTGGATAGAGCCTCTACCCAGAGAGCAGAAGGTCGGTAGATCGATCACCGACCACGTCATATCAATTGACGATAAAACGTGGTACTTGTTGTTACCCTGGCTGACAAAAAGGACAAGACCTGGCGAGCTCGGAGTCCGTTTAATGTGTCATTGGGCATACAGTTAAATTTCTGCTAATATTATGAAAGTAACGTTTGTCCGAAAAGCATCACATATGCATTCAGACCTGTGAAGATCCGGGGTAGAATTGGTCTTGTCATAAAAGGCGACTAAAGAAATATGGGTTGTCAGGCTCGCTGACTTGGGTGGCGCATATCATATATAAGCATTCCGAATTAAGCTTACACATAACCGACCCGTGAAGATCCGGGGTAGAATAGGTCTTCAGCAACCCATGCTTGCCACAAAAGGCGACTATGCTTATCGTAAGAGGCGACTAACGGGATCGGGTGGTCAGGCTCGCTGACTTGGTTGACACATGTCATCGGTTCCCAATTGCCAATTGCTGTTGATCACTAGATTGTCTGGTCCAGACTCGATTATTTACAGACCGCCGCCATATAGCTGTAATATTGCTGAGTGCGGCGTAAAACTGAACTCACTCACTCACTCACTCGCTTACACATAACCAAATGTTTTCCATAGACTTCCTAGTAACGCTATATTTCCTTGAAATATAACCAGGCCGTTAACAGCCACTACATGTACATATATATACACAGTATGGACTTAAAGCTGCAATACAAACCAGGCTAACCAATTCCTTTTCCAAATACAGGAAGCTCAAAAACCCCAGTTCCGCACTGAATGTCCCCTGCTTGAAAATATATATGCACACATTCAGCATATGTCATCGTGTACAAATCTATAGCAATAGATATTAAAAATGTAGTCCTTACATTTAAAAAAAACCCACAAAATTCTTACACAAAAACAACCAATCACGGCTGTCAGATAATTCTGCCTGCACTGCGTGCAGTGTGTGTTAAACTACAGAGTTTGATTTGGTGTAATATGGGCCTTTATCATCTAATGGAGGGTGTTATCAGTGCAATAAAGCAATCTGATAAACTTGGTATCCAAATCTGAAAACTATGCAAAACTTACGCCAATCCACGAACTACTTTCACAAAACTCCATACACGCCATGCGAATCCTAAAACATTTTAACATTTCATTGATGACGTCGTCGCGAGTTTACATTGTTTGTAAACAAACATGGCTGTCCCCGTTCTCATAAATGGTGATTCTGTAAGAATTGATGGCTGAGGTTCTGGAGTCGTTACTGCAGTAGTTGACTTTGGAAGACATGAAACGGAGTACTTCGTTCAAATTGAAGTTACGGATTTTGAGGCACGAGTGACAGGCGATCGTCTAAGAAAGGTACCAACCAAGGATTTCGATCTATCAATCACAATACAGACGACGAATCGATTCCGTCAGGATTCGTCAGTAATTGATGATATTACTACCAGCAATGAAAATAGACTGCCAGGAAAACCCTGCCTGATGTTGTTGTTCTTTTTAGACAGAAAGATCTTATTTTAAACATGGTTATGTTGGCACTATATTAGCGACTAGTCACAACCATATGCTGCCGTCATGAACGAACTTCACCTTGGTGTACCGCTAAGTATTCTTGCGCGAATGCTCGATTCTCTTCATATAAATTCACGTACAATTTGCTTCTTTTTTTAGAGTAATTTTAAGAATGACATTATATGATAAAGAGATTATTAACCTCGTGTGTTTCCGTATCATTAATATCATATATTAGGAATAACAATTAAGCCTTTGGCTCGCATAATACCATTTTTATTCCTAATATATGATGTTAATGATACGGAAACACACTCGGTTAATAATCTCTAAATAAGTGTCGACACTGCAGCATGACAACATAAAACTGGTAGAACTGTAGCATGTACAATGATCACGGTAAAACGGTCGATCTGTATATTGATTACACGCACGT